AGAGAGGCAGAATCAACTGGACCTCACTGGACCCTCAGACTGAATGGACTGAGGATTTACTTCCAACCGTCTGGGTACTTGTTAGTCTTGTCAGGCAGCTAGACGATAAGAAGAGCACAGAAGACTACTTACATTAGCTTTGCTTTCTGTGCAAGAATACTGCTCTGTTAAATGACAGAAAACTGTGGAAATTAAACTTAATAAATGCAACAACCAAAAAATACCTAAACCATAAAACCAAATATGATCAAACACAGACACACAAAACATCTTCAAGATCTTGATGATTAAAAAGCATCTTTTTTTCCCCAGCCATAGCTTTCAGATGAAAAACATGACCCCTTTTTATTCCTCCTCTCAGGATGTATGGAGTGTTGTCTGAAATGTCTGGGAGGAATCCCTTATCCATCCCTGATTGCCACCATCCTGCTGTATGCTGGAGTGGCGCTCTTCTGTGGATGTGGACATGAAGCTCTTTCTGGAACGGTCACCATCCTCCAGAACTACTTTGAGGTTATCAGGGGACCTGGAGATGGTCTGGATGTGTTTACAATGTAAGTGTCTACAGCATATTGAACCACCCGTTTCTCACTGTAGATTTTCATATATATAAATATTATATACAGTACAAATTATATACATTATATACATTTTGTATATAGTGTTTTTTTATGTTTTGTATGCAGCAAAAATATCTAAACATTTTTAAAACAAGACAGATTTATTAGCGAAGCAAATTTGCACAAAATTAAATAATGAAATAAATAAAAAATAAATAAATAAAATTGCAAGACACTGGCAGTGTTTTCATGTTTTAAGCATATAGGAGAATGAGAAAACAGACACTTTGTACAATAAATAAAAGTGTCCCCCCCCCAATAGTTACTATATACATCAGTTTGTTGTGCATGCATGTAAATTAATACAAGTTATCTAATTATTATGGTTTTATAACAATTTATAAGAGTTAGTCCTACAATTCACAAAGTAGGAGTAAAATGAGCATGTGAATGGGTTAAATACTAATATAAACACATCATTTTGAGCTTTTTCATGCCATCCGTACATTAGAAATATAAAAACGCATACTAGTCCTGTTTTTACCTGATTTTTAAATGTTTTACTGGAAAGCTAGAGAAGATACCGAAAATTGTTTTTGCAGTGCATTTAAATAATTTAGAAATGTATGAATATATATACTGACTCATATAATTATTGGCTTGATTTCCTCCGTTCCCACAGCATTGACATTATCAAGTATGTGATCTATGGCATTGCCTCTGCATTCTTCGTGTATGGCATTCTTCTGATGGTCGAAGGCTTCTTTACAAGTGGCGCCATCAAGGACCTGTATGGAGACTTCAAGATCACCACCTGTGGACGCTGCGTCAGTGCATGGGTGAGAAATCACTGGGGAAGCTTCATGCATTGTGATTTAGAAAAGGGCAACGGCAAAGCCACTAAGAGTAACTGCAGCACATAAATATGGCATCCGTTTTATAGGCTATAAAAGATTACATTACATATTGAACTCTGCAAGTTATTCTCCTCTGATTTGTGCCAAATGAAACATGAAATACACTGTGGTTGCAATTATTGTAATGAATTTATAATGCTTATAATTTTGCCTTTTATTTATTTAGTTCTGTTTTATTCTCAATTAATTTCTAATTTAGTGCTTGATTTGACATTTGGATATTAGTCTTAAACTGTCTTTTTCTTCAGTTCATCATGCTGACGTACATCTTCATGTTGGCTTGGCTGGGTGTGACAGCATTCACCTCTTTGCCAGTCTTCATGTATTTCAACATCTGGACCATTTGCCAAAACACGACCGTTCTGGAGGGAGCAAGTTTATGTCTTGACCCGCGCCAGTTTGGTATGTTTTACAATCTGTGGGTTTTAGTCCCAGATGTTTAGGTGTGGTTAACTGTGCAAAGAAATACGTTTCAATGATAATTTGTTTTTGTTGCTGTAATTTTGTTCTTTCTTACTGGTAGTTATCCACAGTGTTGGGAAGGTTACTTTGGAAATGTAATAGGTTATAGATTACAAGTTACCCTATTCAAAATGTAATAAGTAGTGTAACTATTTCAGTTACTTTATTAAAGTAATGTAACTGATTACATTTGATTATTTTTTTATTTCTTTTCTAAATTTCTAACGAATGTTTCCAACAGTTTATCATTTTTAAATAAATAAACCAGGCATGGTTAACCTTACAGTAGGACTCAACACTGATTACTGTCAGACATCCTTCATCACTTGAATTAAGATTATAATAATTACATTTTAAAGCACAGCCACCAAAAAAGTCAGACTTTAGCACTTCCTTTTACTTTCAGATCATTCAGAGGTTAAATACAGACTTAAAATAACAACAAGAAATTGTTTTCGAAATTAAATCTTTGCATAGCTATGACAGGAAATACTGGCATCTAACAATGCCTTGGAATTTTTTTTCTCAGTAACTATAATAGATTAGTTACATTTATTTTGTAAGTAAATTATGTAACACCATTACATATCATAAAATACCCAAAATTAAAACAAGACAAACCAACATGTCTGATTAAGTTGCATGCTGTTAATTGTTCTGGATGGGGCTGTATGTTCACAGCCACCATAAAATAGCACCTCTTTTTACTTTAAGATCACTCTGATTTTTTATTTTTAAATTTCCAGCACTGGAATGCATATTTATCACTATTATTCAACATATCCTAGCTTCTTGCGAAAAATATTCAGATGTAACCCACTTTGTAATCGTTAACATTTTCATGAGTAACTGTAATTTAACTGCACGCTTTTTCTTAGTAACTGTAATGGATTACAGTTACATTTATTTTGTAATTAAATTACATTATGGTGTTACATGTAACTAGTTACTCCCCAGCATATTAAAAAGTGTAATATTCATTTCTATAGCCTCATATACCCTAAAAACACAGACTGTTCTTAAGGAATAAGAAAACTATTTATTTTAGGTGTTGTACCCATTGGTGAGGAGAAGACTGTATGTGCAGGATCAGAAAAATTCTACAAAATGTGTGAATCAAATGAGGTGAGTAAACATCTGTATGAAGTAGACAGGTACACTAAAGTCCAACAATTTCAAATGATTGTATAGATAATTTCCACAGTGAAAAGCAATCCAAGGCTCATTTCTCTCTCAATATTTTTTTCCTGAAAGCTGGATATGACTTTCCACTTGTTTGTGTGTGCGTTGGCTGGGGCTGGAGCAGCAGTCATTGCCATGGTGAGTTTTGACTAATAAAATACAATTATACTTAATAATATTAGACAATGCATCTTAGAGAAAAGGTTTCACATATGGGTTCAGTGCTGTTTAAAAAATGCATTAAACAAACAAATACAAAATTAAGTTAGTAATGCAGCTAAATGTTGTTCATTTGTACTACCTCAAGGTAAAACGTAAAATAAAGTGAAATTTAAATCACTCTATACCGCAATTATGATTACATTAATAGTGAAGTGTGCATCATACCAAAATACGTAAATACTATAAAAAGCAACTCTTAGTTTAACATAATATGAAACTTGCTCCATCTTTTTGTGGGAATTACTTTATATATTATATTACATTATATAAAGTCCTAAGCTGGTAAAAAAAATAGTATACAAATTGTGATGTGAACAAATTTGAATTTCCCTCTTTTAAACCCTCAACAATGTATTGTTTGGGTGATGATGCAGCCAGAATTAATGACACCTGCTTCAGCTCCTTTATGTGAGTCTAAACTGGAATGGGATAAAGTCATGAATCACTGTCAGTTTTCCTAGGGCATTCTGGGAGAAAAAAAAATTTGAGCATTGGGGGCATTGTCAGCTCTCTCTTATTGGCTTTTCTTTGTTGTTATTTAACATTCTCCTTTTATCTTTGTGGCTGTTTTCGTTTTCCTTCCTCTCTCTCTCTCTCTCTCTCTCTCTCTCTCTCACACACACATACATGGAGAGACGCTGTGCATGTCCTTTAGTTGTCATGGAAACTGGGAGAAGAAAGGCCCTAGAGCTTGTAGCAAACAACACTCAGTAATTTGCAAGGAACCATTTTCTGAAAAAGAGAATGTGGTTGTTAGTCTGGGATGATGTAGCAAATTATAAAAAAATAGCTTTTCTGTCCTCTGCTGTGGAAAGAGCAAATGTAACTGATTGTTAAACACAATGCGTCCTCACACTCTCTGGGAAGGGTAATAATAATCAAGCTTTTCTTTTGTCAGGATGAGAAAATCAGGGTGTGGCCCTATTCAAATGAGCATACGTAATGTAAATCTGATTTGCATAATGATGCATTTAAGTAAACAATATATGGTGTGCTCTCATGCAGTACAATAATTCACGCATAACCTATTTTTTATATATAATTTAGATCAAATCAAGACTACAGCTGCCTATTCTTCCACACACGTTGATTTCATGTGGTGTGAGATAACCCTTTATTCATCATTTTTGTTCACACTTGTAAAATCTTTGCTAGGTTGCATAATAGAAACTAGGGCCTTCATCAAGGTATTTTGGTGCATATTTGAAGCAGACTGTAGAATTTCCTTCTAAGCAAGGCAGGCTGCCAGCACACGTATGAGAGGAGTCTGGCTGCTTTACAATGCTGCCTCCTGCTGGTGTCACTGCTAATCTTAGAGTGACAAACATGCGTCATCACAGACTGCTGTCAACTTGCAGATCGTTCTTTCTTATTCTAAATTAATTAACAAAAATTGTAATGTATATATACACACAAACATTAAGATTTATTTTGTTTTTTTAAAGAAGTCTCTTATGCTCAAGACTGCATTTATTTGATCATAAATATAGAATAAAAGATAATGAAAACAGTAGTATTTTTAATCTACAAAAATATTGAGCAGGAAAAACTTTTTCAACATTAATAGGATGAGAATAACTTATTGAGCAGCAAATCAGCATAATAGAATGATTTATGAAAATTGCATTTTGAGATATTAAAATAGTCCATAGTACATGTGCGTGTGTGTGTGTGTGTGTGTGTGTGTGTGTGTGTGTGTGTGTGTGTGTGTGTGTGTGTGTGTGTGTG